GTGGGTTCCAGGGCGCAGGTGACCGTGGCGCGCCGTGGGGTGCCGCGTTCTGCAGGCTCGCTTTCCTGTTTGCTTGCTTTCTTTTGTTGTTGTTGTTATTATTATGATTATTATCGTTATTATTGTTATTTTAATTAAGGAAAAGAAAATAGTTTCAGACCAAATTTGATCAAACTTGGTATAATAATGTATTCATTTATAAAGTCTTATCGCTATTCACACCGGACACGGAGGAAGTTTTGTTATGGGTGGGCATCATGCAACCTAAGATTAAGGAATTAACACCGAAACATCACATACTTTAAAAGAATAATCCAATCTAAAAAAAATCAACTCCTAAACACCCAGCAGCAGGCAGCTTCTGCAGGGTGTGTGGGTTGTGGAGGGGCTGATAGACAAGAGAGTGAAAAAGACATTTTTCTTTTTCTTTTTTTTAACCAAGGAATGACAGGAGGGTTTTGACTTTGTGGGGAGGACGAGAAGGGAGTCTTTTCAAGTTATTTCCCCGATACAGTGAGGTGCCTTAAGATTTGGTAATGAACATTTTTTTTAAAAAGCAAGATCTGTACCAGTCTTGCGGGCGCGCGCGCGTGTTTGTGTGTGTGTGTGTGTGTGTGCGTGTGTAAGTGTAATATACGGGTTAAGTATGTGCGGTAAATGTTTGCATTTGAGTAACTTTTTTCCCATCCTTTTTTGTTTCACTTTTTATTAAGACTTCTGGCTTTTGGGGGATAAATACAGCTTCCAAATAATAGAAAACCGAATCTGCAGTAATCCGATGTAAAATTATTTTTCACTCTTCCTTTATATTAGCATAACAAACTTAAAAAAAAATCTTTATGTGTAACAACCTCTTGTAAATATTGACATTAACTCCCGTCTCTGCATCTCCCTCATTTACTATTTCTGTCCTTGCTTAAGGAGATGGAGGAGGAGTAGAATTTAATGAAGATAGAGATCTGGGGAAGTGTCATATTCCAGTGGGCTGGGGTGGGGATGGGCTGCTGTTCAGACTATTGTATAGATGTAGGAAATTCTTACAGTTACGTTTGTGGGTAAATGCATGCTGATTCAAGTATTCAATAAAATTACGTAGACTTGTATACACCCTATTTTTTGTGGTGTTTCCTATTTAAAACAGGTGCATGTAATATGCCAATTCGGTTTCAAAGAGACAGCATTTAATATCTCTCAGTTTAAGGAACGACTGAATATGTAAAGACCTGTTTTCTGTCTCCTTTAATTTTTTTCTTCTCTTTTTGAGTCAGTTCATCTCACATAGTTCCTCTGTTAGGGTAAATTAAATAGTTAAATTCTGATGTGTTCAGGGAGGAGCTCAATGTGAGGTCCGTTGACCTTAAACACCTGGAAATGCATCTCAGAAGGTGTCACCTCAGAAAATTGACAAGGACAATGTTGTTTTTGCAAATGTTCTTCCAGATATGGGCATCCTTTCTTTGGCAGGGTGTCTAAGTAGGCTCTTTGAATATACAGGGACTACCTTTAATATTTGATTTTATGAGATTCTGCATACCTGCCATGGCCAGGCTTCCTCTTGGTAATAATCTTCATCCTCTCAGTAGGGGACACCAAAGTAGCCCTCTTTCCTTAGTCCAGCTCCACTGACCATAGTCACTGGACAACTGTAGACCCAGGCCAGTTCAGGCCCATCCTGGAAGGGTTTCAGGGGCAGCATTTCCTCCTTCCAAGGCATGGCATTGGCCTTGGGCTCTGAGCTCAGGCACTGGTACCCCAGGGGAGCCTCTTTGGCCTCCTGTGTGTGCTGGTCCATTTGACTAGGCTTCTGACCAAATTTCTACTTGGTTTTCTGCCAGGACTAGATCCTGGTCTGAATCCTGGTTCCAGTGGCCCTGAAAAGCTGTCTGACCCCTTGTCAGCCTCTCCTCCCAGGTGCCTGCCTGGGCTGCTGACTAGGATGGGTCCTTCCTTGAACCTGGTAGACCTTGAACCATATACCCTTCTCTTCTTTATGATAACTATCAGCAGTCAGGAGCTCACAGCCCTGCTCCTGGGCCCTACCCCAGGCTGGTGCCTTTGGGTAAACCCAGGTTTGTAGCTTCCTGTGGACACTGCTGTTCTGTTGACCTTTCTCTTTCTGTTTCCCATTGTTCCCCTTGGCTGCCCCTCTCTGCCCCCAGGAAAGCCACCTGACAGGGCAAGAGCTCTCCCAGCGCTCCCAATTCCAGTCTCTTCCTTTTGCCTGGGTCTGAGGATGGGGTTCCTTCAGGCTTTATGGCAGTCTTCTCACGGGTTTTGATAACAGTTTTCTTTGCCTACGAAAGGAGTAAGTTACCTATCTGCAGATGCAAAGTGAAGGGGTGGGAAAGGAGATTTATAGAGATTTTGACAGTAACGTGGCCTTCAGTCGAAAAGCAGAATTAGGATCTCTGAGTATTGCGTGATGTGACTCTTTTGAAAACAAATCAACCAGAATTTCTATGTCCAATTTTGAAAATTGTCCCCCATTGTCAATAGAAGACAGAAATTATTTGGGACAAAGTTGGGTAAATAAAGTAGCTGATCAGTCATTCACTCATTTAATAAACATTCTTTAGAGATAAAGAGCTCAGGCTCTGGAGCCGGGGGCCTGGTTAAATCCCCTCTCTGTCAGGTATTTGTTATGTGGCTGTGGGCAAGTTACTTCATTTCTCTGTTCCTCAGTTTCCTCAGTTGAAATCAGAGATAATAACAGTCCTTATTTCATAGGGGGTGGTTATGAGTATTAAGTGGTACCATGTACATAAAGCTATAGGACAGTTCTGGGTATATACGTGCTACATTAGTTATAGCTATTATTGCTGTTATTATTTGCTGAGCATGTTACCCTGCCCCATAATACTGTTTTAGATCAAGAATGAGGTATTGAAAACAAAAACAAAAACACTAGTTCTCTTTGATTGAATTAAAAATAAAAAAAACCCCTTGGTTTTAAAAGTAATTGCCAAAAAGTTGTGCCAAAGGTATTTTGAGCAACTGCAGAATTAATGGAATAAGATGACTAACAATCAGGGGAACAATATTTAGTTTGTCTAAATTTTGGTCCCTATCTCTTTTATTGAACGTTGGGTTCTCTATAACTGTCTGAAGGCATTCCTCAGTGTTGCCATTTGCATTTACAATTCTGTCTATTCTGTTTTCTACTGTTTCTTATTTATTTATTGGTTCCATAGAGGTGTTCTGGCTATCAATAAATTTCCCAAACTCTGAAAGTCCCCTTCCAAATTTCATTCTGTCTCCTTGTCCCCTCATGTGTCCTTTCTTGTTTTGCTCATTTCATATTCTTTATTTCTTGTAGGAGCAAATCATTTATTGTGAACACTTTTAATACACCTCCGGGAGAATCTTTTCTTGACTGGCTTCTTGGTCTGTCCTACGCACATTCCTTTCTCTTTCTTCCCCTTCCTTTCTGTAGTATCTGTGACTGTTTGCTCTGCGTTCCTTTTTCCGTCAAGCATAGTTAACAAGGGCGGGTTCAGCTGTACCTTCACATACAATTTGAGTGAATTGTCTTTGCTTCTCTCCTTACATGAAATTTACTTGTTATCTTCCCAGCGATTCAATAGTGTACTGGGTATCATGGTCTCTCTACTTTTCTGTTGCCTGAGAATGTGAAGGACGGGGAGACTACAGATGAAATCATGGATAATCATGATTGGGGATTTGGTCTCTATGTTTTTATTATATGTATATTAAAAGTTATAATTTTATTAAAAGTTGCTTTCAGGGTACTCTCAGGTTTTAGTTGCCCCCAAATTCAGCCTGTAGCATGGAAACAATAAATTTTTTTTCAAATTATGAAGTATTTCAGACATACAGTAGAGTCAGAGAATAACAGACAAACCATGTGTGAGCCCACAGTCCTCTACTGAGTCCTAACATTTTGCCATCCCTGCTTCCAGTGTAAAAGATAAGACCCCTCCCCAGTCCTCTTCACCTCCTTTCATCCCTTCTCTCTATCCTGAATTGCTGCTCATCTTTCCCGTGTGGGTTGTTTCATTACTACTACATAGGAACTTATCATTAATCATGCTGTTGCTTTCAGTTTTTCAAGCTTTTTGAAATGGTTTCATGTTGTCCTGTAATACTGCAGTTCTTTTTCATTCATTGTGTTTTTGAAATTTATTTATGTGGAGATGTAGCTCTAGTTCATTCATTTTCATTGCTATATAAAATTATTTCATAGAATTGGTTCAACTACAATTGATTCAACTATTTTTTTTGTTGGTGGATGTTTAGAT